CATTTGTAGTAAATTACCCTTTGCTGCTTACCAGATTCGGCAAAGTCAATTTTTTTCCTTCTGCGGGTATAATCAAAGAATGCATGCAGTATTACACAAACAGAACAAAAGCAGTTTCTTGTCAGAGGGCTTTCCCTGACTACAGATAAAACACATGTTGCTAGGAGAAATCTCTGTTTCAGAGAGAATGCTTCTGCAAGGTATAGTCATCCCGTAAATATAAAAAATTAACAAGATGACTCACTTTATGGATGCTTTACACCTGCCACCTGGTTCTGGGGAAGGCGATAGATTCTCAACGGCTGAGAATTAACAAGAGCCATGTTTTGATTCTAGGTGGTGTTTACAGCCAGATAACAGTTTTCACCTAAATATAATAGTTATTAAAAAAATATATATATATTAAAATGTTTTTGATTGAAAATCTGAAAAAAAGATCCATGCTATTTTGTAGCACATCTCACGCGCTAGTTTTCCAGTCCAGCAAAGGGTAATTTACTACAAATGGTACATGTAGAAAACTGTTCGCAGTTCATATGTAATAATAATAAATGTTAATAACATAAATACATGCTGGGATTTTTGAGACCCCAGCCTGCAATATAAGAGCCAAATGGCACTCTCAAACAGCAAAATATATATATGGAAAATAAAAAAAACATTTAAAAAGAAAATTGATTTCCTATAACATTTTTGAGACCACGGTGGGGATTGATAGCTACGGAGTTTCTCTAAGCATTTGCCAGTCCTCATAGTTCTTACATTCTCTATTTTGTTTCAATGCATTAACTTGTCTCTCCCCAAGGTAAAAGGGGTAATCCAGACGTGGACCCTGTACTCACTATGCTTAGAGGGGTACGAGTTACACCTCACTAACGAGGCCCAAAGAATGCCAAAACAAATGTCTATGGTTGCTGTATCTAGTGCAGAGAGAACTTGCCAGCATTTTGGTTCTGGACTGCTTTTATGAGTGGGATAAGTATGATATGCAAACGGATCTCTCTGTAAATGCAAAAGTGAGCAAAAACATTTTTGAGACCTGAGCAGGGACTAACTAGAGAATAAACTATTGAGTTTCTTAAATTTTTTTACCTGTTCTCAGAGCGCTCATATTCTGTTTTAGTTCTCTTATAACTCACTGTTAACTTTGTCCCCCCCATCCTGTGTGGGGAGGGTGGGTAGAAGGAAGAATTAACTAGGTAAGACAATTATAGAAGCTATACGGGGGGGTTAACAATCTGATTTTGAGAACTATACTGTGAGAAGATACTTGATGTCTTGCTTATCAACCAGAAAAACTTGGCAGAAAAGAAAGTAAGTATAACGGACACAATTTTTTAAAGAAATAAATTATTTTTATATATATATATATATATAAAAAAACATGCCTTTCTCCACTTGAAAAGCAGTCGGAGGAAGGCCCCTGGGACAGTACAGCGATTGGTTGCCACACCGGACACAGGACTAATAAGGTCACTCACCCATGAACTACTAGGTTGAATCTTCAATCTAATCTCTACACAGATATTGGAGGAAGAAGAGAAGCCATTTTTGTTTTAACGTGAACATAAGATTTTTCACAGAAAATATGATTATTTTTCTGGCATATGTCGTAACATCAACTAGGAAATCAGACTTGGTGTCAAAGCTTGTAAGCTTTTCTGTCTTCAGTCTTTTGGCTTTGCACACAATATATTAGAAATCGTAACATTTCAGCAACGCTAGTTTTTTTTTCTGCTGCCAATCAGGAGGGAGTTGAGTGCATGATGAGGGTGGTCATGAGCTGAAGGCTGGGACCACCAGCAGAACTTCACTTCTTAGACATCAAACTTAGCAATTCTGTAAACAGGATAAACTGTAAAATCGTTTTATATAGAGATTGTTAGACCAAACACAGACTTTTCCTACAATCTCCTCTGGTTTGAGGATCTGGAAAACTCAGAATCAAGTATTGAGAAGTTTGTATTATTTAAAACTCTCCTAAAATAGAGATTGTTCTCAGGTCTTATTTTGGTCAAGTAAGTGAAGTCATTTGCAGACTGTGTGTATAATCTAGAATACCCATGTTGCATGGAAGTGTGATTTTAAAGTACCAGGTTAGACAGTCCATCGGTTGTCTACTGGTCTGCTCTTCAGTTAGATAATTCCTAGTGCAGGCTGGTCTTGTCTGGGTTTTCTTTTCTCTGTGTACAGAAAAACCTGTCTGGTAAAAACCCATTATCAGAATCTAGGTCATTTAAAGTGTGACTAACACTGATAAAAGGAGTTGCTGGTGGGTAGAAAATAAGCTCCCTTCTCACCGAGCCAGTCATGCTACATTAAACAGTTAATTCCCAAGACATATTTCACGGGCCGTTTAGTTGCCTGCAGAAGGGTTGCATGAAGTTAAAAGATACATTAATGCCCGTTTGTGTTGTGTTTCTTTTTTTCTAAATATTAAATTATAAGAGGATAGCAATGTGAATAATGGAGTAAAGGTTTAAAATAAAACACTTGTTTTGATTCTCCAAGGCTGCATAGCGGAAGAGCTGTGAGATCATTAAATGTATCCCGCTAGAAGATTAAAATATGCCAGCAATCACATTTGTGATTTATTTTATCTTTAGAAGTTTCCAGCAATGTTTAATGGAAAAATTATATAGATTTGTGAAATACTAAGAGAGCGGCAAGACAATACAGGTTGTAGGGGTATGGTCGCTATCCAGCCAGAATCCCCAAATGATCTTTATGCCACTTCTGTTGGGGTACTGAATAGAGATTTCAGTGTTAACACATAGAAAATAGATCTATACACACCGTTAGTCCACACCATGTAGGGATGCAGAAAGAGGTGGGAACCAGCAAAAGCATAACTCCCAACTATTCAGTTTTTGGCAGAACTAGGACTATATAAGGGTGCTGGCCACCCATCCTAATTTAGTTCCCCTTGTGCACTGCATCTGGAAAAAACAGTGAAATCTACTTGTGCAGCACAGCATTAGCACATCATCAGCACTCTCTGCGTGGCCCTGTATGTAGTTGGCTTGCTGGAGGCTGGTCATGCTTGATGCCTAGCTAAAATGCCCCTTTAGTAGGCAAGCCCGCCCACTTAGTGGTCAGGACTCAGGCTCGTCAAGAGGAACTGGTTGTCAACTTGTTTCTACCCTTTCCCAGGGAAAGTTGTACCTATTGTTGAGTGTAAACCTTTGGGGACTGTATTATCATGGGTGAACTGGCCAGTGATTTTTTTTTTGTATTCAGGGTCACTAGGATTTCTGGTGGCAGCCGTGCCTAGTTAGACTAATCAATTTAAGGGACTTTAATATGAATGTGTATTTAACGCCAGTCACAGAGTACTGTACAGTAGAATTGGGCATTCAGTTTCAAATGAATTGCGATTTATCTGAATCTCAACTGACCAGCAGGTCATCTGAATTCTTTATCTCTGAATCTTCATTTTACTGAGTCACAAAACAAGTAAAGCGGCAATGGTGATGATTAAGGAACAGCCACTAAATCAAATAAATATAGGAAGAACGCAAGCAAGCAATGAATTTAATAATGATAAAACAAAAGCCAGGGGCCATTTAGACCAAATGCTCAAAAGTAACGGAATGCTCAAAATCTTTTTTTCAGCCAAACCAAATTTTTCGGCCATGCACAAGTTTACTGCAGAGTATATTTGTCAAGATTTTAATTGTGATTCCTGGTATATTATCCAGTGACGTAAATGTAATTGTTTGTTTACATTATAGGAACTTTGGCAGGCCCTTTGGGGCAAATGTAAACATTGTGGGTCTAAGAGAATATATTATTTTAATGAGTCTCTTGTATTTGACTTCAAAGCGTTTTGGCTTCAAGTGAAAGTCTCCTTGAATTAATAATTTTGCAGTGAACAAAATACTGCAACTTGCGCTAATCAATTTCCTCAATGACCTCTCTTAAATGTCATTCTCAGCAGGGGACCAAATGTTACCTCCGTCTCAATTGAAGGGTGCTGGGGAGAAATGCAAATTTGGAAAGAGACATACACCATTGCAAGTCTGCATAATCTGACTTTTTTTTGGGGGGGGGGGGGCATTCTGGCTCTTTAAACAACATATGTAGTTCCCCTGACAATCAAGGCTGTCACGTAGTGGTCACAAACCTTACAAGTAACAAAAGGTAAGAAATAAAAGGGGAGTCTTTTAATTGTATTTATTTATAGTGCTCTACACAAGAGTGTGTATGAAGTTACGCCCATCCCCTAACTTCTAACGGTATATATCAGGATCTGATAGCCCGTTCAATGCTTTAGATCTAAAAATGGAAAGGTTTTATCTAGAATCTCCGTGAGCTTCATGCTGATAGATTTTTCTACAGTAAATTGGCTTCCTGTACAACATGCTGGTAATCCCCCACCTCCGACCATCAATGATTCCAAAAGCATTTAACGTCTCTAAACCAATCATTAATGGAATCCTGGAGGCAACCTAAGATATCTGTATTACCCAGAAATCCACTCACTAGAGACCGCTGAATAGGAGGTAAATTATTATCTTTTTTTAGTTTAATAAAATGTTAGACGGTAGACATGACATGCTCTTAATATTTATGTTTGAGGGCATCAACTCGTTAGCCAGGAGAAATTATTTATTTGTATGTAATCATCTGAAATCAGCAACTCTCAGCAATTGTAATAGATTTATAAAATCTATGATTTTTATTTCATTTTTATTGTACATAGTTATTTCCAGATAAGAATTGTACAATGTCATCTGTGAGTGCGTTTTTTTTTTGTCCCTCTCTTCATGAGGCATCATTCCTCATGTCTTACTTGCAAAGAACTGAAGAAAGTGAATAGACTTCTTGGCAGTTTAGCACGATGTAACAGCTGTAAGTGTTTAGCTTGTCAAAAATAGTGACTTACAACCCAGGAGACAATGCTTCATCACCAGAAGAGGACAGATTGGAAGACCGTTTGAGAGACCAACATGAAAATACATCTCAAGTACATTCTTGATTGGAGCTTGATCTGCCAAGCCAGGACCTTTAATATATCACAACTCAACAACACAGAAAAAGAAATCATCTTTTGGTTACACAAGAATGCATTTATTGTAAGACTGTAAGAACAGAAAAACAAAATCTAGTGGTGCTCTGTGGTGTATATACATAGGATACACCAGATCATACTTATCAAGATAACAACAGGGAACGGTTTTGTGGCAAACTGTTACAGCTGATATACCCATGCGCCACAAGGGAATGTCCAATGACTACTCAGTTTTGGGGTTCTGAAAAAGTCTAGCTGTCCTAACGAGTATTAAATAAATGAGTTCGGCCTTGAGTTTTATAAATAATAGCTTGCATGTAAACATCGATTTAATGTATAGCTTCATGTTCAGGGACAAAAATATATATAATTACATCAATTTACACTAACACATTCAAAATGTATTTAAGAAATATTGGGGTATTAAGTGTATTATTATACAGGTTACTTGCATGGGCAAGAGCTTTCACAGTCCCAACGCCAGTTACAGACAGGATGTCCCTCTGACTGGAGAAGACTAAAGGGGGTCTCTAGGCACCAAAACAAACAGTGCCCCCAATTCTGTATCAAACCATTCTGGAGTGGTTTGAGGGAGAAAAAAGAAAGTGGGAGTTTTCGTGACACTTAAAGCCCAGGCCCTGCGCTGTTTCTACAATGTATGTGTAAGAATTACATTCGGATTATGTTTACAATGCTTAGTTGCAAGTGCTGAAGGTATCAACAATCTTTATGACTGTCATTGCAAAAGACTCACAACAAAATAATCAATACAATGAGCTGTAGAGTGTTCTTTTATTGGATACCCAGGGTTTGAAAGGAAGGGGTTAATCGGACAATTAATGAGATTTTGATTTGATTCGAAATAAAAATAATCAAATCATGATTCCTAGTCTTTGCTATGGTTTATTTCCATAGATGTATTTGGCCTAAAACCAGCATGAAGTAGGGGGGCTAAGACATGTCTTTCATTGTATCGATCAATGCAGCCATTTATCCAGTGTGCCATCATTCAGTTCTTTCAGCTACACATTAAACCGCTCTCGCCTGCAGTGGTCATTCACAGTATAGAGTGCAGCATTAATGGGGACTGACAACACTGAGCATAGTACGGACCTTAACAGAAAGAGACCGGTCTCTGGGAGAATAGAGCTTCGTGTGAAAGCATAGTTAGATAAATGGAACATATTTTGAGGTTGCTGCAGGGATAAACCTTACACTGGAACTAAGCCAGTCTTCACATTATCGCACAGCTAGGATGGTCTGTAGCAGGATACACTAGACTTCCTTCCACAGTAACAATACAGTGTGTGCAATTAAACCAGCTGTGCCTTCACATGCCACGGAATTCTCCAAGAGTCAGGATGATGTGAATGTATCAAGAAGGTAGAAATGCCTAACATGGTTCTTATGTATAGTAGGTGGCAATGCCTAACATGGTTCTTTTTACCAGGAGGGGGATGCAACTGTAAAAAAACTAACGCAAGTTCCTGCTTAGGAACTGCTGGCTCCCCATCATTAGTATTTGAGGCGGGGAGAGGTACCCCAGATAAAAAGGCAAGCCTTTCAAAAACAATTTGACTACTTGCAAGGAGAGTGAACCAAGGCACCACAGGCACCACTACAGCTCACTGTAGTGGTTTTGGTGCTTGGAGTGTTCGTTAAAAAAAATAAAAACAACTGTATGGATAAGATGGCATCAGGGTAAAGCTATCAAAGCAAGACTGTCGCTTCTCTATGAAAGCTACATGTACAAGGACTGGGAATACAAACAGCTGACAGTTGAACACGGTCAATGCCTGGGATCACATTCCCCAAGTGAACAGAAAAAAAACTAAGTGAAAAGTTTTAAAAAGAAAGATCACCTATGCGCACAGACATGCTTGTTTGATTTCTACCAAGTCATCGAGAAGTGCTGGTCATCAGTACACAGTAAAAAACCACCAGTCATTAAAGGGTTATTGCTATGACATCACGTACCTTCATATTTTTCTTACTTCTATAGTCACCTATATGAGAGGTGCACTCTATAAATTCAATACCTTTAGGACATATACAGTATAATTAATATTAATGTATTGATCATATTAAAACAAAATGATGGATCTATGAACATGCTTTAATTATTTTTCATGATGTAATAAAGTGGATAATAATTTCAATGAACACGATTGAATTAGCAGTGCCCTACACACTTAAGCTAATGGATATTGTTTCAGCCTGTTGACCGAAGTAACCACTGAATTGATACCGAGTGGTCTCAGAAACTTTACCGTGAGAAAAGAAACAGTATGTCTTTGAATTGTATTAATACTGTCCAGTGATGGATTATCAAGGTGCTGACATGTTTGGTATTATATGCATTAAGCTAAACATTAGCCATTACTACCGTTTCTAGATCTCAAAGGTGGAATTGAAGATGAACATTTAAAAACAAACATAGAACTATGTATAACCTTTCCAATATTTAAAAAAAATAATATACAACTCCAATCATTCATTTAACACTAACAGCTGAGTAGCCATTATATTTAAATCACTAATACTATGCAATAATGGTCGGAGAAAAAAAAAAAACTGCACTGCAGTGGTATACGCTCATCAACTGGAAATTTAGTGGAAATGTATTTTATTTTATTTAACTTTGTCCTACATTTTCCAAATTTGCTGACAACTAACCTACAATTCATAGTTGGGTTATCGCTGCACCCCTGATCTCTATCAAAAGAATTTATCAAATTAAGGGGATTAGATTGTCTTTGGTTGCAATTCAGCCGATTTCAACAATTACGCATAATTGTAATACAAAAATGGCTTGAAAAATGTAAAAGGTTTTGATGTTGAAACATGAGAAATTTTGTTACTGAACCAGCTGAAATTCGACACTTAATAATCAGACCTCTTAAACACCAACATCTCCCACAACATGGTATATTATATATTAGAAGATTCAATTTAGAAGAAAGGATACCCGTATGTTTAAAGATCTGGCAGAGGATACTGTAACGGCTAGGGAACACTACACTCCAGGTGGCACTTTTGGCAAGCGTTTCTCTCTTCCCCAAAGGCTGCTCCATACTTAAACGTGGCATAAAACCCATGAGGACTCACCAGAGTCCTTACCATGAGTGAGCTTTGGTTTAGAAAAGGCTTCCTGTATGCGCCAACATGGATCGCTTTTCTTGCGCTCTCCCTTCTTTTCATTATTGGCACCCTATTGTTGTTTTTATAGGGTGCCAATGCCTTTCTGCTATATTTTCTTTCTCAAGTCCCCATTGCCTGCCCAGATTGCGTAATCCTATCAAGGATTCCCCATTTCAACTCCCCTGACTTACTCAGGAGACATTTTTTACTAGCATCATAAGCAACACTTCCACTTTATTCTCTACTTGAGCTGGTTTCAGCTTTGTCTGTGATATCCCTGAGATAAGTGAACAGGGACCCTTTGGGCATCGCATGGGGAATATTACACGGACTATGGGTAACTTTGTTTGCTTCCTTATTGAATTTCTGTTTGAAATACAATTTTTTGGGTGTACATGCAGTTTACATTGTTCTTAACCAGATGCATTACCTGTATGGACTTCTGATGTTGTCTGACGTGGTTATCTATCTATATATGCCTTGTGCTGAAGAAATTTCTACACTTGTACAATTTCAGGTTACCTGGATGTGAACACATTTCTTCTTGTTGCCTGCTAACCACATTCTTTTATTGGTGCAAGTGTCTACACCGCTTATTAAACTGGTATATAACACAATTTAGGAGCAGGAAACAAAGAAGAATGTATGGAACATCAACTATCAAAAGTGTGTGATTCACCTATGAAACGATAACTTATACAATGCTTAATGACGCAAACATGGAGAATGTGTGTGTGTGTATATAACACACACACACATAATATATATATATTGTATAAATATATATATTGTATATATATATATATATATATATATATATATATATATATATATATATATATATATATATATAAAAAATATGGGAAAGCAGAGCCTGTAGTTGTGGGAAGGGTTACCCGGCCTATTAATACACAGGCCTCCCCTTCCACTGGGACAATACTTCCTGGTTCAGCCCCCCCACCGCTCCCTTAATCAAGCCATTCAATTTTGGTTGGCCCCCTTTTCACAGGCCTACCTGAACGTCAGTATCAGCACACCACAACAGACTTACAACACCACTACTTTAACGCTGCTTATTGTCCCGGACCATAAATATAAATAAATATATATATTTATTTAGCTTTAATTCAGAGTAACTACAATGGGAAAAAAATGTTTTACAGCTTTTTGTTTTTTTATCTTGTGAACAAATGGTCTTTACACTGATATACACAACATTTGATGCAAGATTTCCTGGTCTGCGGCATTTGTGCAACAGGAATGTGAGGAGAAAAAAAAACCAACAAACTGTACCACCTCCAAGTGGTTGCCTTGCGTGAAGTGAAAGAACCACAATGACAAAAACATAATTGTTCATGTATTTACATGGAATTAAATTAAGGAAAGCTTGTGTTCTGCTTGGTTTAGTAGAAGCTTCAGAGAGTTTCAGGAGATGCTTGACAACAGATCAGTTTTCCAGGCGATCTGGCTCTTTATTAGTCATTCGATGTCAGATGGTCATTTGTCAATTGATCTGCATGTTCCATTTAACAGAGTCTCTTGAAAACAAATGGGATTAAGTGATGTGAAATCCCAAGCTAATATATTCAAGGGTCACGTTCCATTTTCTTCCAACATAAAGGGAAGATGTATTGGAAAGCAGACATGGCTAGTATATAGGGTAGAATATAAAGGTCACAGGGACGTAAAGAAGAGGTACTCCATGTTGTGAGCCAGAAAAATGGCCACACGTTGAAATCCAAGAAAGGTATTGGGCACACAAAAGTGAATAAAAACAAAATAAATATTAAGAAAAAAAATTATTTTTTTCTGTCATGAAGAACCCTCCACAGCATTTCATGTCCGATTAGACCTTTATTTTTTTAAAATATAGACAGTTTTCATTTTTAAGAATGACTTGTGGTTAATTTTTTCCTGGAAAAAAGGCAGATGGGTCCCCAAGGTAACCTCATCTTGCTCACTTTTACGATTTGGTCCTGACTTTTTCCCTTGTTTCATCCATGGGATTTCTTAGCAGTCTTCAGAAATACATTCAAATTTATTAAGAAATTGCTAAAACCATCAACCAACTCATCCGCTAGTCTGGGCAGGTAGATGATTAACGTAACAGCTCAGTTGCAGGCACAACTTCAGGTGTGGAGCAAAATAAATCCATTCTCAATTACAGCCCTGGAAATTCAGGTAAGATGAAGTATGTCTCTGTCTGTTATTCAGGTTATAGATTTTAACAAATATTTTAAAGTATGATTACGGCATAAGTTATTGAAAAATGTGTCCAAAAATAATAGTAAAAATAATAATAAAAAAAAGTTTCAAGTACTACAATCCCAATAAATATTGGTTCACCTGACCAAAATTAGGAGGATTTTCAACACTTTTTATAGTACAAAATTCAAGCTACTTTGTCTAGTTTTGCTGATCATAGAGCAGCATTACTGTTACATGTCCGTATAGTAAACTATTAAACACCATAGCCACAAGTCCACGTGATAGAGATCAGTAGCCATCATCTTCATCCATTTCACAGCCATAATCTGAAATTAAACAAAAAACATGTAACGAGGTGCTCCGAATCTCAACCCTGATCAACTATTCTCTGTTAATACAATGAATTGAACGCAGATTAGGGTCCTCTTCAACCTATCGTTCCTGTAAGTTTTCTTGTAATTGTCCTATTTATAGTTAAATCCCCCCTCTCATAATATAGTAAAGCGGAATCTGTTGGCGAAACATAAATGGCAATAATAATAATAATAATAATAATAAGCATTACTGAACATCCAATATACCTGTAATAATACATCATCTCCTTTTATTAGTAAAATTACATTATGTAGGACTAATAATAACTTATTTTTAAATGCCCAACTCTTGACTAAAAAAAATTATAAAAAAATATCTACTTAATCTAATTAAACATTTTGTTCTATCGATATTTTAGTAGGGCTGATTAATTGGATGGTAGTCATGCAAACTCAAGGACATGACACAGATAGGTAGAAAAGATTTGTTGCCATAACAGCAAAAAAAGCTTCTTAATTTAGTACTTTAATATGTTAAATGATAATGGGAAAAGAATACAATGACAGATCTGTGCTTGAATGTTTTTGTTTCTAACATGCTAGAGGCACGGTCTGTCAACATGTAACCACTTTTCATGTTATTTAAGATGCAAAGGATCAAAGAGTAGATTGTTTTTCTCCAAGAAATGTATTTAGCAAATCTCAGAAATAGAAGAAATTGGTTCTGTACCATCAAGAACATTAACTGAATTAGTGATTTTTGTGAGTGTTTTCTATTTCAACATTCACATGTGATAACAATAAAACCCCAAATTATAAAATGAATACTTACCATTTCCTCCTAGTAACTCAAGGGCACTCACACAGTGTTCCTCCTCTTCGTCCTCTTCCTCTTCGGGCTCTACCTCATTGCAGTACGCAACAGGCCCACTTTCCACCAGTACTGTAGAGGGAGTCTCGGGGTTATTCGTAGATACCTGAGAAAGGAACAGGATCTATGTTACATGCAGATCGTTGGAATCCTTGTTATGGACATATTTCCATGTCCGATATGGATTAAATAGTGGAAAATGCTTTTGTATAAAGTAAGTTTTTTTTTTCCTTTTGTGAATGGATGATTAATCTCAGTGCCAACGTTGTGGTTTCAATATAATTAAAATATTTAGCTTAATGCCTTATAGCAACAAAATGAATAAAAAGGTTGAAAATTAAATGCCCAGAGGCTCTGCCATAAGAGTAAACAGAGATACCCTTCAATGTTTGGGTCACCAAAACAAAGTATAATTATTATTATTGCCATTTATATAGCACCAACAGATTCCGTAGCACTTTACAATATTTTGAGAGGGGGATGTAACAATAAATAGAACTATTACAGAACTATTACAAGAAAACTTACAGGAACAATAGGTTGAAGAGGACCTTGCTCAAACGAGCTTACAGACTATAGCAGGTGGGGTATTAGAAACATTAGGACAGGAAATATCAAGTAGGAGTGAAGCAGAGCTGGAGGACAGAGTAAAGCACTGTCCCATAGGAGAGCAGGAGACAGGTATGTAAGGTAGAGATTACTCTGGGAGGCCATAAGCTTTCCTGAAGAGATGGGTTTTAAGGCCCTTCTTAAATGATTGAAGACTAGGGGAGAGTCTGATGGCAGTAGGCAAGCTATTCCATAGGAGAGGAGCCGCCCGCGAGAGTATATATAATTGCAACCACCTCGCAAATTGAAAAGCTGCAATAGATCCTTAGGAATGAAAAGGACCAAAAACAGCCTTACCAATAATAGTAACCAAAAGGCCTTAAAAATAAATGTAATCTGAGTGTCAGAGATGGATTTACCAGGCATTTTTCTGAGTAACAGCTTTATAGTCAGAGTTTATGATGAACCCAAGATGGATATATTGGTTCTTGGATCCAGATAGCTCTTGTGAGAATTGACACACTATCAAACATCTGGAGAAGTTTAACCATCTGACTGCACATAAGATGATGTCTTGGAGGTAAGGGGCAACAAAGAACACAAGTAAAGGTTCACATGATAAACATTCAGAGAAGGGTAGGGTGACAAAGTGGTAGTGCCAGCTGCTGTAATAACTCATGTATCCTGTGTATTTTTCCAGGTTGATTGAAATAAGTCTTATGTATATTTCTTCTTGGGCAATATACGTCTATATTAACCAATAATACGAATACGCAATCTGACTTACGGTTGCTTCAGGTTTAATCTTAGAGTTATTTAATAGAGCAGCAGGAAATGCTGGCAGAATGCTTGGTTGTATAGGGAGAGGTATTAGCAGTAGAAAGAGGGAAGTGCTCATGCCATTGTACAGAACACTGGTGAGACCTCACTTGGAGTATTGTATACAGTACTGGAGACCGTATCTTCAGAAGGATATTGATACCTTAGAGAAGGTTCAGAGAAGGGCTACTAAACTGGTTCATGGATTGCGGGATAAAACTTACCAGGAAAGGTTAAAGGATCTTAACATGTATAGCTTGGAGGAAAGACGAGACAGGGGGGATATGATAGAAACATTTAAATACATAAAGGGAATCAACACAGTAAAGGAGGAGACTATATTTAAAAGAAGAAAAACTACCACAACAAGAGGACATAGTCTTAAATTAGAGGGACAAAGGTTTAAAAATAATATCAGGAAGCATTACTTTACTGAGAGGGTAGTGGATGCATGGAATAGCCTTCCAGCTGAAGTGGTAGAGGTTAACACAGTAAAGGAGTTTAAGCATGTGTGGGATAGGCATAAGGCTATCCTAGACTTAAGATAAGGCCAGGGACTAACTAAAAGTATTTTAAAATATTGGGCAGACTAGATGGGCCGACTGGTTATTATCTGCCGTCACAGTCTATGTTTCTAGGTTTCTAGAATACATAATAAAACAGCAAAGGATGTTACAGGATAATGGATGTTTAACAGTAGATGGTAATTGCTGGACTCGTGAAGGGAGAGTTAGTCTCTACATAGTTAGACAGCCGGACAAGAACAACCTCGTGCAGCAAGCAACAACATCCCTCGTGGTCCTTTGTCCCCTTTTCTATATAGATATGTCCATAATGACGTCAGAGTATAACCCTAGCCATATAAGGACAAGACCCCCAATCCACATTCCAGAGTTCTCAGACAAAAAGC